CATGTGTGGAATGTGAGTTGCGTTGGGAGGGGGCTACAATCAGATCTGTCCAAAGGGCGAGATCATTTCAGAATAAAATACCCCTTTGCTCTATGCCATTTGAGCTCCTTCAGGAGTGGTGTTAAGAATACCCCGTATCATGATGGCCCAGCCAGCGTGGCTCAGCAGTTGAGCATCAACCTATGATCCAGGAGATTGCCGTTGGATTCCTGGTCAGGGCACATGCCTGGGTTTCAGGCTCAATTCCCAGTGGGGGGACTTCGCAGGAGCCAGCCAATCAGTGACTCATCATTGAAATTTCTATCTCTCCCTCTCCCTTCCTTTTCCTGAAATCAATAAAGATAAAATAAAGAATATCATGATGGTATGGTAGGAATGTAGAGAAATGAGAAAACAGAGGGGACTTGGGAACTATTGGACCCAGATCCAATCTAAGGAGCTCAACGTTCCAGTTGGTTCAGAGTGGGTAGGAGGGTCCCAGAGCAACCCATAAGTCTTTGGGTGGGTGTAGCAGAGAAGACAGAGAACTGGGGGACTTTGAGTTACTTACTGTCTTTTAAACTGTGCCCTTGGGCTCTTTGGGTGGTAGTGGAAAAATGATGGGGGTTAGAGGGACAAAGGAGAGGAGAAGAGACACAGGTGTGTGTGCAGGTGGCATGAGTTTGGTGGTGTTCCCAGAGTGCACATGGAACTTGAGGGTTTAAAAGAGCTGCTCTTCCAGTAGTGCTTAAAACATTTGCTTTCCTTCAGAGAATTGGCTTCTCTTTAGAGAGACTATATGTTAAATATTTTGAGATTCAATATGGATGTTTGGGAATACACTATATTTAAGCAGATTAAATGCCAAGAAAATTTTCATTTAATGTAGCTAGTGGAGCCTATTTCATCTATATTTTCAGTTACTTGTTAAAACATACAAAGCCGTCACCCTAGCCAGGTGGCTCAGTTGTTGGGAGCATCCTCCCCTACACCAAAAGGTTTCAAATTCGATTCCTGGTCAGGGCTCATGCCTAGGTGCTGGGACGAATAGGGGAGACAACGAATTGGTGTTTCTCTCTCTCCCTTCCTCTCTCCAAACATATCTTCCGTGTGAGGATTAACAAACAAACATACAGAGTTGTCAAAACGTATGTAATTATGTACAGTGTAACTAGAATACACTCCCAAAAGTGAAATTGCTATACCGAAAGATAAGCTGTGTTTATAATTTTGGTAATTGTTGCCAGATTGTCTCAATAGGGGCTGCACCAGCGTTATCCCCACAGACTCCCCAAGGGCCTAGGTGGTCAAACTTTGGTGCTGGCTATTCTGATAATTAAAAAATATTGCCTTACTCTCATTTAAATTTGCATTTTTCTTGAAGTTGAGCACCTTTTCACAGTGTTTACCTCAGGGTTGTAGTAAGGATTAAATGTGAGTGTATTACAGCTAACATTCTTTGCGTTGTTAGGTTGCTAGACCTCATTTTAGTCATGTTACCTAATCTCCATCACAATCTACATGAACCCTTATAAAAAAAAAAACCCACACAATTCATCTCTTGGGTGACATAATTCCTCCTGATGGCTCTCTTTTCTTCATTTTAGTGCTTGAGGTTAATCAGTGATAGATAGCAATTAGGTTGGCTTCTTTTCAACACTTCTACTTAAAAAGAAGTATGTTTCTACATTATTTAGATGTATTTTAAAATGAGATGATGTTACATATATATTTTTTCAAAAGTTTACTTAGAAAGTCACAGAGGTAGAAGTGAGCCGTGGAGGTAGTGAGCCAGCTGGGCTGCGTGGGCTCAGGAGACAAGTTACACAGCATAAAGAAGGGCCCTTGGAGTTTAGGAGAAAGAAAGCAAAGAGGTGCCTAAAAGAAGAAAGCTAGGGCAGCTAGAGAGCACCAGAGAGCGCACCAGCCAGCTTGCTGGGTTCTCTGTCCTAAGGGCTTGTCGCACATTTTTAAAATTGCTTTTTCACTCATCCACGCTGAGTCACTTTTTTTTTTTTGGCAACAACTTCATTAAGATACATTCCACATACCATACAATTTGTGTTTTGTCAATTAATTTTTGACAAGGCCTGAACTTGGATTTCTACCCCCAGTAGTGGTTAATCTGTTTACTCTGGCCACTCAGTTTCCCTATGAATGGCAAGTTTCACTATAAACACTCAGTTTCACTATGAGCAGCAAGAACGAGAGTAACCGTTTTCTTCGAGCACCTGTACACACACACTTTTATATTTAATAGAATGTGTTAGCAAGAGTTCAGGAGTAATTTCTGAGGATACGGAACAGAAAATCTTATTACCCCCCTACTGAAATGTAATCTGATAAATTGTTTTCTTAAAGTCTAGGGTTAGTAGCTGGCAGTGTGTAGAGCATGTTTCCAGATAATTACAGACTTGTGATACCCATTGTTTTTAAAAAGCCATATGACATATAACTAAATAATAAAAGTCACTTATTTTTAATTAAGCTTATTAATTAATGAGAATGTTTTGTGATTTGGCCCATAAATCTTGAAAGAACCTCAAGATCTTTTCTGTAGAGGAATGTATACATCGAAGTTCCAGTGTATTTGGATATGCATACCTATAAAATTGAAAACATGAAGTAAAAAACAAACCTTCCCTTTTCCTCACTTCTATTTCCTAGTGGTAAGTGCTATTAACATTGTAGGTTATCCTACCAGCTTACTGTAGTGCTAAACAAATATTTGTGTGCTTTAATTAAAAGGGCTGATAACATCACATCTGTGGCTTATTTATTTGGGTTGATGTATTACGGATATTTTCTTTTCAGCACTTTCAACAATACATGTTAAACAGTTACTGTTCTTTTTTTCTTTTTTTCATCGTCACCTGAGGACATGCTTTTATAGGTTTTAGGGGGGAAGGGATGGAGAGAAAAAGGGAAACATCTATTGGTTGCCTCCCCCGAAGGCGGATGTGGACAGAACCGGAAACCGCAAGATTTTTACAGAGTAATGAATGCACATTGTTTCACAATATGAATAGTCTTTCTCGAGTTCAAGTGTTATGTTGCATTATAATTTGCTTACATACATTTCTGCTTTTTTATTTTTGCCTTTTGCATGGATGAAAAGTTATTTATTTTTATTTGCTTGTCTTCCAGTAAAGTCAAATAGGTTTTGATCCTTTGAATTTCCACTTACGTGAATTACATATTCCCATTCTTTACTCACTATGATATTGAGTTATTTTCCTTATTAATTTGTTGTATCTCTTTTATATTAAGAATAGGAAGTCTTAAACTAACTAGGGAGGCACATGTGGTAACGTTTGGGTGATTAATTGTTCACTATCTTGGTTGTGCTAATGGTTGCATGACTGTGCATTTGTGGAAAAAAATTATTGTACTGTGCTCATAGAAAGGATACTTTTATATAAATTATAATCTAATAAACTTGACCAAAATTTTTTATACATATAAAATAAGAATGGTTTGCCTGTCCAGTGTGGCTCAGTTGGTTGCAGTGTTGTCCTCGTACACCAAAAGGTCTCCGGTTCTATCCCCATCTGCCTATGGGGGAGGCAACCAAGAGATGTTTCTCTTTCTCTCTCCCTCCCTCCCTCTCTCTCTCTCTCTCAAATCTATAAAAGTATGTCCTCAGGTGAAGATTAAAAAAAGAACAGTAACTATTTAACATGTTTTGTGAATATTTCCCCAGTCTATCATTTGACTTTTGAATTTATATGACAGTATTTATCCTACCTTTTTGACAGGTATACATATAAAGAAATATATTTTACACCATGATTCAGTGCACAGACACATCTAAACACACTCATGAAAGATTTACATGGTAATTATCTTTACTAAATATAGTGTAGTCTTTTTTTTAACTATTCCATTAAAAAAAAAAGGTACTTGTCACAAAGCACTAAATTGGTTTGTGATCAGCAATTTGATAAACATATTATAGTGTCTTTATAAGTTGGATTGAGTGGGGCAAAAGTAGTTAAAAAAATTTGTTAGTATTATTAGATATCTATCTTTTGCTTTAAGCTTCTCACTTTTTTACTCTTGCCTTGGGAGATGTTTCCTACTTTCTAAATTTTCTTCTTACACCCTTCATTCTTTTTTAAATCTTCACCTGAGACGACTATGTTCTCTGTTTTAGGGGGGAGGGGGGGAGAGAGAGAGAGAGGGAGAAACATCTATGTGAGAGAGAAACACTGATTGGTTGCCTTCCTTATGGGCCTTGGCTGCCCCGACTGGGATTGAACCTGCAACCTGGGTATGTGCCCTGCTAGAGAATCAAACCCACTGACCTTTTGGTGTACAGGAGGATGCTCCAACCAACCGAGCCACACCGGCCAGGGCTCTTCTTACATCTTTTTTTATACTTAAATTCATATATCTGGAATTTTTGATACATGGTATGAGATAGGGATCAAACGTCCTTATTGTCATTATTAAGAATTTGCTACTTTCTCTGCCACTTAGAAATGTCAGCATGTTATTATTAAATTATTTAATATTTTGTAGTTTAGTCTGTTTATTTACCTTGTATGTTAAAAAAGTATTGCTCTTTAATATTAAAAATCTTTTTACAAAATTGCTAAAAAACTGGCCATTTGAGATTTATTTTTTTAAGTTATTGAAATGTAATATACAGACATAGAAATGTGTGTATGATAATTGTATATTTTTATGAATTTTGACAAACTGAACATAACTGTGTAACCTGTACCTGGATCAAGAAATTAGATATAGGCCTTGGCCAGGTTGCTCAGCTGGAAAAACATGACTATACCAAATTATTAAATTAACAGGCATGATACTGTGATAGTTTCTACTTACTTTTTTCTTTCTCTCTATACCCCCGTTTATTGGTATATTTTGGCTTTTCTGAAAATGTAAAAGTAAAAATAATATTTTCTCTGGGGTTTCACATTTATTTTCTCTTAAGTTGTAACGCTCCAGTGGCTGTTATTCAGATATTTAAATGGATAATATCAATATTTGCTGTGTTTGTTTTACAGGCAGATTTTAACAACAAACCAGTAAATGGCCTCAAGTCAGAATCCATGGACTACAGTAGATGTGGTCATGGGGAAGAAAAAAGGTTGGAATTGAACCCACATCCCCTTGAAAATGTAACTAAAAATGAAGAAAGTATGACAGGTGTTGAAGCGGAGAAGTGGACGCAGGACAAGACGTCACACTTAACTGATCAAGTCAAAGGAGATGCTAAGGCCATTGTAACAGAAGCTGAAAAATGGAAAAACTCTGAAGACGACACAAAGAAAGTCCTACTCACTGAACTCCTTGAACCTCAAAAAGTGTTTGCACAAACTGTAAGAAACGGCATTAAAAATGTACACTATTTACCAATGGAAAAAAATGTGTCTTTTAAAAAAATTAACATTGAAGAATTTGGCAATGCATTTGAAAACAGTTCCTATATACTCCTGAAAGACGCCTCCATCCACAACAATGCCATGAGCTCCATCTCTGCTAATTCAGGCCGTGACCTCCTTAAGGGGAGAAGTGATGTTTTACCCTTCCAGAAGCCTGGCTCTAACTGCAAGTCTTTTCCAGATCCTACAAACTTTAACGTAAATAGTCATACTAGTACACCCACTGAAAGTGATCAACCAAAACTAGATATTATACCAAGTAAAGAACCAAAACATGGATCTCCAGTTCAACCACGTTTTCTATCCCTAATGAAAGATAGGAGTTTAACGATGGAGCAAGTGGTTGCTATAGAAGCTTTGACTCAGCTTTCAGGAGCACCTTCAGAAAATTCCTCACCGACTCAGCTTTCAGGAGCCTCTTCAGATAATTCCTCACCGACTCAGCTTTCAGGAGCCCCTTCAGAAAATTCCTCACCATCAAAGTCAGAGATGGATGAAGAAGCAGAGCAGAAGGCAGCTAGTTTACTTAACTGTAAAGCTCTCCTCTGTTCTGTACGTAACGACCTCCAAGAACCAAATTTGCAAGGGGAGCCTCAAAGCCTTCATCACTATCCGTCTTTGGGAAAGCAAAGTTCATGCAACACTGTGGTGTTCAATGGCCAAAATATGATTTCCAAGTCACATAACAGCTCAGCGACTAACCAAGTATCCACGAAGCCACAGGAATATTCAAAAGTCAAAAATTCAGTATCTCTCTTTACACCAAATTCGAGTTCATCCAAAATTGACACCAATAAAAATATTGCTCAAAGTAAAATTAATCTTGATAGTTGTCCCAAAAGTTTGCATCACTTGCCACCAACAGATAATAAATTGGGGCTCTGTAACCAGTTATTGGACAGCAGTAAAAAGTTGGACTCAAAGGATGACCCATCATGTCAAGATACAGTTCATAGTAAAATAGAAGAAGATGTTGCAGCACAGTTAACACAACTTGCATCGATAATTAAATTCAATTATGTAAAACCAGACGGAATAAACGTTGAGAGTACACCACCAAACCTTGTGTGTAATGTGCAGCAGAAACACAGTCAGGAGAAGGGCACAATACAACAGAAACCACCTTCCAGTGTACAAAATGATCAGAGCTCATCATTAACAAAGCAAAAGAACACAACCCAGAAAAAGACAAAATCTACACCATCAAGAGATCGGCAGAAAAAAAAGCCTGCAGTCATAAGTTGTCAAGAAAATGACCAGAAAAAGCAGCAGCAGCTGTCATATGAGTATAGTAAATTACATGACATTTGGATAGCATCTAAATTTCAAAGATTCGGTCAATTTGGTCCACATGATTTTCCTGTTCTGTTGGGAAAAATTCCTCCCATAACCAAAGTATGGAAACCACTAACTCCAACAAGTCCAGCATTAGAACACAAAAAATTATTTCCCCCACTCGCTCAGATAAAATTTGAGCGATATTATCCTGAATTAGCACAGGAAAAAATGATGAAGGCTGATCCATTGGATTCCCTCCCCATATCCCAGTTACAAACAGAATCCAATGGGCAGGCGTTTACAGAAAATGTTTATAATTCTCAGGTACAGCCTACAGTGAATGTCAATCAGAAAGCTCATCCTTTACTCCAGCCCTCTTCTCCAGCTAATCAGTGTGCTAATGTGATGACTGACGATCACCAAACACAGTTCCAGCGAGATGTTCAAGACCAACTCATGCATGAGAGACTGCCACCATGGCCAGGGATCTCTCATGAGACCCCCTCATTGGACCCAGCACAAGTTCTCAGGAATGTAAATGTAGTGTGTTCAGGTGGAATTACAGTGGTTTCTACCAAAAGTGAAGAGGACATCTGCTTACCTAGTGTTGGAGCATCAGAATTTTCCCCAGTAGTCAATGCACATAAAAGTTTTCATAATTATGCCATGAACTTTTTTACTAAACCTACAAAAAACCTGGTGTCCACAACGAAAGATTCTGAACTGCCACCCTGCAACTGTCTTGGTAAGTGCATGTGTATGGTGTGTGTGTTTCATTTACCTGCATTAATTGCCTCAAATCATGACCAAATCAAGTTTTGGTTTATATTTTATATGTGGCATTTTGTCCCATTCGAATAATTCAAATGGGCTAAATAATTCTATACTCATTTTTCTGTGGGACCCTTATTGATTCTGCTCAGATATATTGGAAATTCAACTCATAATTAGGAAACTTTCTCAAGTGGAAAATTCGCTGATTTCTCTCAAGGCTAAATGTCTCTCAGATTTATTCTGTATATCATAAGAATGAATTCCCTTAATGCTTTATTACAGTTTTACTTTCCTATAGTCAAAAAAATTTCAACCTGTAAGCTTTTTGCTTAAAAAAGTATTTTTTGTGAGATATAGCATACATATAGAGAATGTAAAATATAAGTACAACTTATCAAATAAACAAAAAGTATGTGTTATTGCTACCCCAGACAAGAACTGGAACTGGTTTATTTCTTTTTCAGTGCCTAGTGCTTTTATGCTCTCCGATATAAAGGGTGTACCTGTCTATACATGAAAAAAATTTACAATCTTGGCTATTTGAAGAATTTGCAAATCTTCTGGAGTTTTAAAATATTGTTAAATGTTGATTTCCTATTTCAAACAACAATCAGTAGGTTTGTACAAAGAGCTGAGTCATGGGCCAATTTCTAACCAATGCATTTGTATATTTTGTGCCTTAGAAGTCACTGAAAAAGAATATTCAGAAACTAACAATTAGAGATTTTATCACTGCTTTTTTTTAAATATCTTTTTTATTGCTTATAGAGAGAGGAAGGGAGAGGGAGAGAGAGATAGAAACATCAATGATGAGTCATCAGTCGCCTGCCTCCTGCACACCCCCTACTGGGGATCAAGTCCGAAACCCAGGCATGTGCCCTGACCTGGAATCGAACTGCAAAGCCAGCCGGGAGTTATCACTTTTAAAAGTCCGAGAAAATCTTGATGGACTAAAGATTCTAAGGCTGGTCTTATGAGAAATCTGCTCAATATTTGAAACATATGAAAGCTTAATTTAAATCCTGTCACTGTCTAGAGTCAAATTTCATGTAAGTGCTCAAGTCTGAAAAGAAATTTATTTAGTTGAATATAGCTGTGAAATAGTTTGTTAGGTTGCTTGAAGCCCATTATTTCAGCTTTTATACAATTTATGATAGGACAGAATTTGCAGAATAACCTGTTTTGAAACCCCAAGTAGGTTTAATTATTAAAACAGTTTTTCTTAAAATATTCCCCAAGTCAAGCAGATTCAGGCTTTTTACTAGAAGCAGTCTTTTCACTGCAAGCAGGCAGTTTATTCCAGACTGGGTAGTTAAAAGATTATTTGGAAGGATAAAGTATGTTATTCTGATTATTTTTTAACCACCGTATTAAAAATGGTGACGTATAGCCATGACTTTCAGTTCTCGATTTTCAAAATACATTTGATATTTGGAAATGGATCCTTCCATTACCAGGCTCATCATTCAACACACAGTTTTGACAGCCTAGCATGTGCCAGGCACCAAGGATAGGCTCCTGAGAGGATCTCACGGTCTGGAAAGGGTGACCGTGCCAGGTAGGGCTGAACTGGGAGAAGGACAGGTTCCTGGACCAAGGACAGAAGAGTGTAATAATGATAATGGCACCTATTCCACATCTTTTATCGCAAGTCTGGTACTGTGCCATGCCCTTGACTTGTACTCACAACAACCTTATCAAGAAAAGGCTTAGTATTCGCATTTAACAAATGAGGAAACTGAGTCACAGAGACGTTTACAGTAGTAAACCACTAAGCTGGGATTCAGAGACAGGCATTCACGACCCCAGAGGCTATGTTTGTAACCTTCACCATCTGTTGCTTCAAAAATCAGAAGTAAAGTAAAAGTGGTTTCTCTGAATATCATTGTAAGTGGTTATAAAGGTCTCTAATGTAAAATGCCATTAAAATTTATATACCTGAGGTAGTCTAATGATACTGTGTGCATAACTTCAGTAGGATGATTGTCTAGTTTCAAGACCCTTTCCTTACACATAGTAACTAGTCACAGTTCGGACAGCCAGGCATTTATAGTTTATTGAGTATCTGCAGGTCCGCGTCCTAGAATCACTACGTGTGAGGTTATTGGGCTCATTCTATATAAATAGGAACTTAAAGAAGAGAAACAAAAAGCACACTCACTCAGGAATCATCCCAAGTGGGACCATCACATCTAAGGGTAAAAGATTTCCATGGGGATATTATTATGTTCTAGCAAAATAAAGGTAATTAGGTTTAGATCAGGCTTCCTCAAATTTACCACTTGGTGTTTTAGATGGATTAATTCTTGGTTGTAGGGAGACTGTATGATCCCTTGTAGACTGTTTAGTGGCATCCCTGGCCTCTACACACACTTCTCTTTCTTTTTCTCTCTCTCTCACACATACACACACACCCCTACCTGCCCAGTTGACAACCAAAAATATTGTCAAATGTTTCCTCTGGAAAAATCACCCCTGGTTAATAACCACTGTTCCCAACACCCAGTAATAAGTTAAAATCTACTCAATGAATCTTGCTTAAGAAGCCACAGAACTCAATCCAAGTTATATCTGACCTTTTGGTTGCAGGTGAGTACTCCATGGCCAGAAATGCATTTCACAGTGATTCTAGTTAGACATGATTCTAAGACACCATTGTAAAAATAATGTTTTCTAGAAATATGTAATTCACATTCACAAAAATTCATATGGTGCAGAAATACAATGAAAACATCTTAAAGCCTCCTTCTCTAAAGATAAAACCTGTTGTAGTTTATCTACATAAATTAACATTACATATACTGATCTTAATTTCTTTTCAAATTTTTTAAAAATTTAAGTCTTTTAAAACATTATTTATGCAACTTGCTTCTTTACTTTAAAAGATTTTTTTAGTACACCTGAAATTAATGCAAAATAATATTGAATGTAAACTGTAATTGAAAAAAATAAAAATGTTTTAAAACTTCTTAGATTTTTTTTAGTGTTTGTAAATATCATTGTTTTAATTACTTTATTATTTTCCACTATATAAACATCTCCTAATTTATTTAACCTATCACTTATTGACAGCTATTAAGGGGGTTTCTCTCTCATTTTTAATATTAGAAATAACTATAACTAGGAACATTCTTGTGTACGTTTGTATTATAATTGCATAATTGTGCAATTGTAGAGTATAATAAATTCTTAGTGTAATTGTTGGGCTCAATGAATAGGATTATGAGTCCATACTTATAAACATATTGCTCTTGGATAAATTTTAATTTTGCACCTCAAATTTTAATTGATTTTTTTAAAAGCAGGAAATAAGAATAAATATGACCCACATCTTCAAATATATTTTCCCCCTCTGATTCTCAGAGGAAGAAATGAATTAGTTAGGAGCAGAAAGGAACCAGTTACATTCCAGGGCCTATTGCCCTAGACTTAAGTTATTAAAACTGACCAAAACCTTGTCAAGATTCATTGTTCTGAACTGAAAAATTGTTTTTTTATAAAAATAGCCCTTCCTTGCCCCTAAGCAGTTCTGTAAAAGTTTGGGTCTAATAATCTTATTCCTTCCACAGATCGAGTTATACAAAAAGAAAAAGGCCCATATTATACACACCTTGGGGCAGGACCCAGTGTTGCTGCTGTCAGGGAAATCATGGAGAATAGGTGAGGAAATATGCTTCCCTGTTAAAATCATTGATTATTGTGGACCAGACTCAATGCAGAGAAATTCTCTCTGGGAACAAACATGAGGTGAATGGAAAACCTTCAGGAGTGAGTTGGATGTTTCTTAGGGCCCAGAAAAAGAACAGCTTCCTGGTGTCCCTGTGAGTCACCCATCACATCAGCCATCGGGCACTCAAAAGACACTCACAAAGCAAGGCTGTCTTTGTTAAATTCAGAAATATTCATTTTTATATTACTGTATAATAATAGTAGAAACAGTTTAAATTGACTCTGTCAACACCATTCACATTCTTTTTGTCTGTCTTGGAGCCAGGCCCTTTTTAAATCGTGATCTTTAAGGATGAGTAAACAACTGGATAGCAAAATATCTGCCACACAAAACTCAGTTTTTAACAAAAGTAAATTATGAGGAGTATTTGATTTTTTTTTTTTTTTCTTCTGTTAAGATGCTAAAAGTGTATATTGCAATTATTTTCTTTTCACTGTGTTTTGTACTCAGGTATGGGCAAAAAGGAAGCGCAGTAAGGATAGAAATAGTAATGTATACTGGAAAAGAAGGGAAAAGCTCTCATGGGTGTCCAATCGCTAAGTGGGTAAGTATTTTGTATTTATACATTTTTCAAAATTGATTTCCCCCCCACATATAAAATAAATAATGTATCTATAAAGTAAATTAATTATTAATTTTCCCCCCAAGGAAAATATGGACAAGAAAAGTACCCACTGTCATTACTCCTAGGGAAATAACAAGAAAGCCATCTGTCTTAGCCTGGGTTTTTTATGTTAAATGAACAAGAGAGTGTAGCCCTTACCAGTTATTACTCTATGATCTTCTTTGAGTCATTGCTTTTGCCAGTTTCTTGTGTATTTTTAGAAATCATTCAATGTATTTATAATTAAATAACATAAATAAATGGCACTAACCTATACATGCTACTTTATATCTTCTATCAGTTAGTATATTTTGTAATTCATTTCAATTCAGTATCCGAAGAACCATCTTAATGAGGATCATGTAACATTGTAAACCAAGCCAAAGTTTTTACATGTAAAAATGTGTTTGTGATGGCTGATGTGACTCTGGGCCAGTTTCTTGTCTGCTACGCAACGAAATGAGTAAGGATGAGGCAACACCTGGATAACAAAATACCTGCCACACAGTAGGGACACAAACGTTTGCTGGGGTCACTTTGCCTTTCAAGAACTAAATAAAATTTCCTAAAATCCCCCCCCCCCGGAAGTCTAAAACTTCCTCTAAAATTTCTGTGAACGGTTGAGGTGGGGCTGGGGGTTGGTGTGTGTGAACTATTATTTCCTTCCTTCACGGATCAACTCGTCCTGCTATGCACTGATTTTGCATGTTTCAAGTCAGCTATGAAGGTTAAGTACCCTTCCCAAATTCCTCAGAACATTCACACATACAAGTTAACCTCTATGACTACATGCCCTGACCAGGAATCTATCCCACAACCTTTACGGTGTATTGGATGACAACCAACCGAGCCACCTGGCCAGGGCCTAACTGTTTAGATTTTATGATGTGGTTTCATAACTGATGGAGCTAACCTCTCCTTTTAAATTTTCAGAAATTTCCTGACTATTCTTGCTTTGTTTATTTTTCTATATGAGTTTATAATCACCTTGTCTAATTGCAAGAATCAAGTCCGATTGGTATTTTTATTGGAATCATAATGTGCGGAGGATTTATATTATTATATGTTTATTGATTTCAGAGAGAGGAAGGAAGAGGGAGAGAGAGTTGAAACACCAATGATGGGAGAGTCATTGATCGGCTGCCTCCTACACACCCCCGACTGGGATCGAGCCCGCAACCCGGGCATGTGCCCTAACCAGGAATCGAACCAGTGATCTCCTGGATCCTAGGTCGACGCTCAACAGCTGAGCCACGCCCGGCCGGGCCTATATTTTTTTGATGTTTAGTCTTCCCATCCTACACGCTGTGCCTTTCCATTTGTTAATGCCTCTTTGTTCTTTGGGGTCTTTTAAAGTTTTGTTCCCATAGAGTTTACATATTTCTTGTTTTCCTATTTATTTCTCTTGTGTACCTGAGATGCACAATCATGTAATTTATTCTCCTTACCAGGTTTTATACTTTTAATTTCTTTCATTTAATACAGTTAGTCTAGCAGACTAACTCCAATTTTATATTGTTTCAAATACGGCCTCCTTATCTCTTTAGTGTGAATCGTCCAGGGGTTTCTCATTATGAATGAATCGTCAGGGAAGGCCTCTCGGGTGACAAAAAGGAACTGAGCATGCAAAGAATACCCCAAGGATGTAGGGAAGAGCATACTGAGCAAAGAAAACAAGTGCAAAGGTCAAGGAACAGTACATTCTTTAGTACTAATCTAAGAGGAGTGAGTGAAGTTGAGGAGGTAGAGAGAATGAATGGAAGCAGGTGAGGGTTTAAAGGTAGGTAGAAACCAGAGCACGAATGGTTTCATAGCTCATTGTGAGGAGTTTCGGTTTTAGTTTACAAACAACGTGAAGCCTTTGATATGTTTTAATTAGAAGCGTGTTATCTGACCAATTTGTGTTTTAAAAAGAGCTTTCTAATAAGTTAATTGCTAAAATCTGTATTAGTTAGCTGTTGCTGCTTAACAAATTACTCCAAAATTTAGTAGCTTTAAACAACAAACATTTATTACCTCATGGAGTTTTTGTGGGTTAGGAATCTGAGAGTAGCTTAGCAGGGTGCTGCTGGAAGGAGGTCTTTCATGAAGTTGTAGGCATTTGAAAATTTGGGGAGTGCGGGTGGGGACTGGAGGGTCCACTTCTCAGGGCATTTGCACCTAGTTCCTAGGTGGCTGTTAGCAAGAGAGTGGTCTTACTTCCTTAAAAGACTTCTTAATGTGCTTTCTCATGGCAGGGCAGCTTGGTTTCCCCCAGAGTGAGTCAATCAAAAGATAACACAGAGGAAGCCACAGTGTCTCTTGTGATATTAGCCTTGGAAATTGCTACACAAGTAAGCCCTACTCAGTGTAGGAAGGAACTATGTAAGGGCATAAACACCAGGTGGTGGTGATCCTTGGAGACATCTCGGAGATTGGCTATATATGTCTTCACTAAATACCAACATGTTAAGGTCACTACATGGGCTTACTAAAATATATCTACCTAAGCCCTATCCAATATGTCTCATACCTACATCTGATCTATGTACCTTTTAGGCTTCTCTTTTCTAAAGGGGAAATCCTTGAATTTGTGAATCTTCATTTACAAAATAATGTACACAGTACCTCGAGCATTTGCTGGATTAAGTGGCAGGGTTTGGTTCCCAATATTTGGCACTGATAGTTGACATCGGCTTGTTTTCTATACATCTGTTAATCATTTCTGAATCCTTTACTTATTTGTCTATTAAGTAGCAAAGGGTAAAAATATCCTCAGGACATGTCAGCTAGCTTCCCCTGGAGAGAGTAATTCCAAAGAGCAAGGGAGCTGAACTAAGTTTTGGGATTTTGACTGATCTTTCCTGCCATTTAAAAAAAAAAATTTTTTTTTAATATGTATATATATCTTTATTGATTTCAGAGAGAGAAAGGGAGAGGGAGAGAAAGAGAGAAACATCAATGATGAGAGAGTCATTGATCGGCTGCCTCCCGCATGCCCCTGACTGAGGATCAAGCCCACAACCCGGGCATGTGCCCTGACCAGGAATCGAACCGGTGATCTCCTGGATCCTGGGTCAATGCTCAATCGCTGAGCCACGCCCAGCCGGGCCTTCCTGCCATTTGAGCCTTCTCTAAAGTAGTAACAATAATTACACTGATAGAATTTTGGTTTATACTTCTAATTGTTTTACAAAAGCAAGTGTGAAGTCTGCAGCTTAAAGATTTTGATAATTTTAACTCTGTTAAAGTCCTCTCTTGGTGTAACCCCTCTTCTAGGGCTCTTAGGTACAAAGAAGAGTATTTATAGTATTTTCCGTGCAGCAGCTGCAGCAAAATTACTTTCTTACTTTCCCTTTTGCAGTATTCAGATTACATAGAATATTTTGATGTATAGTGATATGTATCTGGCACTTTTCACAAATACAAAGACAATCCAGAGATGAAGAATGAAACACAGTGGCTAGGCAACTTATTGAAAATTTTGATATTTACTAACGACAATTCAAAAGTATAACCTTGATAACAAAACCAAGAGTCGATTCTGTGTATCTGTGAAAAAGAATGAAATGGGAATTGTGATTATGTATGTTAGAAAAATCGTAATGTTAATCAAACTTTAGTTTTTGTAAACTTTCCAAGTTAACTTATTTAAAATACATTGTTCGTGCCTGAGCAATGCCCTGCACACAGTCGACATTCAGTAAGTTCTTGTTGAGCAAATGAATATGGAACTTTAGTAAGAGTATCTTAGCATGTTGAATATTTTTATTTGAATCGGTTATCTTGAAATAGTACCGCTATGGTATTCATTACTAGCTTTTTTTCTGAAGCATCGAAACTTCTGAGTATTAGGACTAATAGTCTGCTAAAGTTATTCACCCCAAACTCTTGAACTTTTGATGGAAGTTAAATGAAAAATAGAGTGAAAAGGTTAGGTTCCCCAGTAGTCTACATAGTTTTTAGGACTTTACAAGCAGATTATTTTGAACAACACTAGGGCAATTAAGTCTTACATATGGATGCTTTATGCAGGAATGAGGTAAAAAAAGGGGTGTGTTAGAGGAAATGGAGATCAAACATTCTAAACTAAGGAATCTAAAAAACATTCAACTAGTGGATTTCATTGCCCCAAATTTACTTTTCATCTTCATAGTGTACATTTGTCATATATTTAATATTAAACTAACAAACATTGTGTGCTTTTTTAAAAATTTTTATTTTATTTTTAAAAAATATATCTTTATTGATTTCAGAGAGAGGGGGAGAGAGAGGTAGAAACCTCAGTGATGAGAGAGTCATTGATCTGCTGCAGCCCGCAACCAGGGCATGTGCCCTGACCAGGAATTGAACCCTGATCTCCTGGATCCTAGGTCGACGCTCCACTGAGCCACCCCCAGCTGGGCTGGGCTTTTTTTTTTTTTAATGTGCACTTTTTTCATCTCTGTGTGCAGACTTATGTTTGTCGATAGTGGTTGAATTCTCTTCTATTTTTCTTGTGCTGCACTTGCCTCCTTGCCTTGAAGGCGGGGTTTACTGCTTCTCTTTCTACTGGTCACCCACGGGAAGCGCAGCAGCACCTTCTGCCGGGGCAGCACAGCTTTCCGAGCGGCGCTCACCTTGTTTTGCCTTCCCTCTTAACTCGCTTTTATTCTTTTCTTGAAACGTGTACTTGCCAGGTGGCCATTAACACCCCCCCAGAATTGTTAGCCTTTGGCAGATGCTTCTCTTCCCCTCTGCCGTCACTGTGTGTGTTGTCGAGGAGTAGTTACCTTGCTACTCAGATTTGGGTTGAAGGGGTGAGAGCGATCCCTGGGCACACTGTGCTCCTCTTGCCCGCTGAGCCGGTAGAGCGAAGGCAGGAGCACGCGGTCGGACAGGCCGCGCAGACAGGCCCTACGCCGGAGCAGTTCCCAGCAGGCCCCGGGTGGCGGGGTCCCCTTCGTAGGATTATATACAAG